CACAGTCTATCCAGAGAAGACTGGAGGAGATTGAGGTGACCTACAAAGACCTGGAGGACAAAGGTGTGACTCTGGAGCGGACACTGCGAGGAGAGGCTGGTAAGATCAGATCATCTTTTTTATACATATTTAAAGAATTTGGGATGTATTGTTCTATATCTCCGGACATTTGCAATGGAAAAAAAGCTTATTTTGGAGGTATAAAGTCATTATAAAAGTGTATGCTTCCACATGAATAAAGATTCATAGTTGAGGAAGATGCTACTTAGGTAGTTGAATTGGGGCAACAAACGACGGGGATAGTAAATCGTAGTAAAAAGAAACACATTGGGGAACATTTTTACAAATAATTGGTGAAATGGCAACAAGTCAGTAACACGTTTTGGTATAAAAAGAGCATCTTAGAGAGGCAGGGTTCCTCAAAGGTAAAGATGAGTAGAGGTTCATCAATCTGGAAAAACTTAAATTCTCGTCATCTATAGCGCATAATAATCTCTATGTGCAAGAGAGAGGTTTGAAAATAAGTATTGTATGCCTGTGATCTTTAGGCTCTCAGATGGCAATTGATGAAAAATAGGTATAATTTTGTCATGGAAATCATAGCCTGGGCTCAGAAATTCTCCCTCTGTATTTAAGCTCTTTTAAAATGGACTGAAGGATAAATTTGAAATTGTTTGTGGGAATGATGTGTGTCCTCTGGACTAAAGAGGAGAGACAAACATCCAGTTTGTTAACAGCTTTCACTTTAAAAGCACGCCTCTCTAATGGTATGTTCTCTATGGAATTAGCAGCTTGCACATCCGGAAAGACGGCATCAGTACTGAAAGTTGTCTATGCATGTTGTTGTTGTGAGCTTTTATGACAGCTTTTACGACAACATAGCTTTGTAGTAGAAGAGTCCAGGTGCTGAACTGGTCTGCCTGCAGTCTGGAGCTCTCACCAGCTGAAAACATTTGGTACATGATGACACAAAAATATGAGATAGAAGACCCAGGACTGTTGAACAGCTAGAATCTGTATTTTCTACTTTTTAGCAGTATTTTATACGAACCAAGTGCACAAACTGAGATTACTGAGATTTGCAACACACCATTTACTTCAAACTATGCCGATATTTAGCACTAAACAAACCAGCATGTCTGATTATTTGCCCTTGATATAAAAATGAACTGACTGCATCTCTGTTTAGAAAGCCATGAAACGTTTGTAAACCACACGTATGAGCGCTATTTGGGGATTGCATTCCAATGCTATTTTGGTCTGTTTAGTAAATCTAGCCCTAAATTTGTAGGTCAGCTGAATTCTTTTTATTACAGCCTCTTGGAGTCCTTATGCAAGTTAGCGTGTGGGCTTGTAGACAAACACTCACATGGGTGCTGTGTCAGATGCCGCAAATAAATCTGGTTCCTCCTCACCACTTTATTGAGAACCCACCCCACCCAAAAAAACACATCTTCCTGTTTTCTTAAAAAAAAATTGCACCATTTTTTCCTTGCAGAACGCAGCGGTTCTCCTGATATGATCGAACAGTGGATCCAGCTCGTTCATGAAAAGAATGCATTGGTTTCCGAGGAGTCTGAACTCATGGTGGCGTAAGTCTGCAGCCTCACTGGTTCATTCTTTATTTCATGGAGTAAAAGTTTGTCTAGTCATACAAGTAATACAACAGAGCATCTGTATACAAGTGACATGGTAGATGGAGCAGATCTCACATCAAAACACTGCGGTGACTGGCTGTCCTCACAATGCTAAAAGCCAGTCTTTTTTTTACAGTTTAATGTCGTTTGTTGTCGGTCCTCATGATAACATACAGCGTTACTACTGACAGGACTCAGCTGATGCTTGTTTCTCTTGCAGGTCTCGACAGCTGGAACTGGAAGACAAGCAGAGCATGTTGGAGCTGGAGCTCAGGAAATACATGGAGATAAATGGTGTGTACTTCGGTGTGCACACAGAAAGACTCGTAACTAAAAGTGTCTTTGATGTAGTTAAAGGGAGGAGCCTAACTTCGAAACAGGCACCAGGCCGAGCAAGGCCCGTACTGCAGCGCATGTTTGTCCTACTAATGAGCACATCAATGCTTTCTTTGTCTTTGCCACGTTTGTTGTTGTCCCATTAACTCAGTTCTGCATATAGCAATGTCCTGCATTTTGTAGGACAGTATACACTACTGGACCATGTTTTTTCTTTTACTAAATTACATATCATATGATTATTTATTGACCATCATTTCTTCTAGCATTAATGCCACTAAACTAGTGACTTACACCCATTCATAATGTTTCCCCTGGGATTTCCAGGCAGTGTATTGTGCAGTGAAACAAATTTTGACCATTTTCTGCAAACAAATAACTGAATATAAGAATATGCAGAATCTTTTGGCAAGAGATAAGACTTCTGGCACCAGAAGCATTCGGCTTCTGTTTTTAGTCTAATCACATTTAGTCATGTTTTGGTTGCATGGAGGTAAACAGTCCATTTAAAGAGCAAAAAAACAGGGATGCACAAGCCAAAATGCAGTCCCATAATTATCATCTATTACCTGATGAGAATTTTTAAATATATTACAATTAATTAACACCGACTGGTGCACTGAGCAGGAAGTTCATATTAGCCTTTATTTCCAGAAAACATCAAACAAAGGTCAAAGAGTCCCCGGTTTGGCCCAAAAAGGCCACAGATTGCCTTTGAAGCACTTTCAACAGTGCAATAATGGGCTCAGCATTTTGAGTCAGACATATCAAGTAGATCATTTCCAGTCTGCTTAAGTTTTAATTAGATTTAGGTGAAATGTATGGAATGTGTTCTTCCACTGAAAGAGGGCAATGAATAGATATTTTGTTGGGAAAGTTTTCTCCTCGTGGTAAGTATGGACAGGAGAGGAATAACTGAAGGGACTATTAAAAAGTACAAACCTTTGCCTTGGCAATTTAACTGTTTGAAAGTTTGAAATGACTCACTAAGGGGCCTTTTGCTTCTGTGGAAAAATAAAAATAAATTCCTGGCAAGTAAAGCTAGAAAGGCTGGGAATGTTTCCGAACCTTTCTACTCAGGTTTTTCCATCATAGTCAGCAGATGTTGGGAAGGGAGGGGTACAGTACCAATTATCCATTTTTTCCCCCTAATTAGTGAGAGGATGAGAGTTTACTTGCAAGAACCACTATTCAGCTTAGACTTGATGTTTGCGTCTGTTATTAATTAGAATTGGGTGTGTGCATATGTTTTCGTTTTCCAGATAAGACACCAGAGCAGCAGGCAGAAGAAGAGCGAATCCTTCAGGAGATGATCGAAGTGGTGGACATGAGGGACTCTCTGGTATCGTTTCTGGACGAGAAGAGGCAGAAGGAAATAAGCGAGGAGCAAGAAGCTTTCTGCATCATGGAGGCCAAACGGCAATCAAAGGGAGGATCTCAGGTTCACTGGGCGTAGGGTGAACCTGCATGTCCCGCGCTGGTGATTATTTCACATCTTCTGTGTGTGAGACTCGCTGCTTTCAGACTTGAAACCTGAAATGTACATTTGGAAAGCCAAAGATGATCGAGCTTCGTTATGGAAAGTAACACACCACAAGCACTCAGTCAGCGGATAGGATTTAGTTCAGGCTTGTGAGCCCGGAGGCTCAGAGAGTGTCAGTTGCAATCCACCCCCTAGAGGGAGACATAAGCCTGGAGATCTGAGTCTTTCAGTTGACATGGCCAGAGACTGTGCAGCTGAAGTCTGCCTGCCATATTGGGGTCATAGCAACATAGCCGCATAGGAAAAATTATCTTTAGTGTATACTGAACTATTGAACATCTATCACACAAATGATGATCAGTAACCAGCCTGGGACTTGGCCTGATTTACTGTCAGATATGTGACTTAAGCACTAAGCCAAGATAGAGCAGTATGAAATCACAGTGGCTGGAAAGCTGCTGTACCTGACTTTGTCTCCTTAGAGATAGTTCTAGGCTGATAATACGGGACAGCTGGTGTTTTTGAAAATAGATGTTCATGTTGATTTTACTTGTTTCATCATGGGGAGTGCTACTGTACACAAACACATGATATCCTAATTCTATCTTTAGTATTTGTATTACATAAATGTGATGGGATTGTAAAGAAAAAAAAAAGAAAAACTAAGTGACATTTAAACATTACAAATATTCAAACTTTGTTTTTCATTTCTTGTTATCGATGTTGATGTTTTGTAGCACTTACAGCTGTTCACCGTGTCCTGTCCTGTCCTGCAAGCACATTGGATAGTTAATCTCAGGGGTTGATTGTTCAGTCCTTTCGGGTCAGAGTTAGTTTTCCAGTGATAGCGGCAAATATGGACAGATTTATCTATTTATAAAAACCAATATTTATTATTTGTAGGTATTCCTGTCATTGTGCAGGATGAATGGCCAAAATCTAAACAAAGACCGTTTCTTGTATAAGTGAAAAGAAGCCTTATATAGTCATTGTGCTGCTGCCATTTCGTGCTATCTGGACAGCCATTCACAGCATATCAAATAAAGTACATGCACTTTGTTGTTTTTGTTTATTTATGCATTTAGTCTTATATTAAAGCACTGAGCAGTGTAACTAATACTAACTCATAATATATAAGGTGTTGCCATAAAGGCTTGACTGGGCTGTTATTCTAATTCCTGTCCTGTAGGGCAGCGGTCCCCAACCCCCGGGCCACGGACTGGAGTCATTTGGTACCGGGCCGCGAGAGTTGAGACTCGGGTGTGAAATGTATGGTTTTCAGGGTTTTTATCGGTTTTTAGCGTTATTTTGTTATCGTTTTTTCGTTAACTCTGTTTGAATGGGTCTTTTCACAATAAATCTTCTTTTTTTCTGTACCAATACTAGTTTTATTTTGTTGTATTTATCCGCGACACCTTAAAGGCTGGTCCGTGAAAATATTGTCGGGCACAAACCGGTCCGTGGCGCAAAAAAGGTTGGGGACCTCTGCTCTAGGGTGCATACTTGGCCTTGATTAAGATTTAAGTAGTGAAGAAGCTCCTTCCTATTAAGGTCCACAAGTCAGTAAAATAAAATAATAAAATGCAGCTTAAGTCCCAAATCGTCATTTTATTGAAACGAACAAATAAATACAATCACCTAAACTATCAGAAGAACTTGGAAGTGCAGGGAAACCTTAGTCAGTGTGAGCAACAACCAGCTTTCCAGCGTCACATTCATGTCTAACAAGTACATTTTAAGGTCTTCTTTCATTAAAAAAGTGTTTATGGGCAACATCAAAGCAGATATAAATGAAGGTTGTTACTGAGTTAATTAACAAGTGCGCGTTTGTTTGCTAACGGAATATTTATCAGACCTTGCGATCTCGCGGAGGAAGTGCGGAGGAGGAGCACAATGTCAGATGTTCTGAATTGATACATAAAAGTGAATAATTGCAGCACATCATCATCATCACACATCATTACAGGTATACTGCCCACATTTTTTGCAGTGAAGGTAATGTTAACAATATGCATTATGTAATACTTTTCACAAAGAAACATCTTTTTTTGGAGTAGTTATGAAGCGAATAATTGCTTTCTGTAAATTTGAGTGCAAATGTCACACACAGGTCGCTAGTTTTCTGCAAGCACTCACTTGTATTTAATCTAAGGTTATGTAAGCACTTAATATATTAAGCAATGATTAAAATAACTTGCAAAACACTTTACTCATGCTTGTTTGGATTAAAATCCTGGTAACATTTGCTGGATCTTTTTAAGATATATCTGCTTATATGACTTTTTCCCACATGGGAGCTGTGTAAATATAGCTCTGAGCACAGATTCCTTGATCCATTTATTGTAATCCCATTGACCATTAATTTAGCTGCAATGGATCTTAAGCGCTTGAGGTGGTGTAAGGTACTTTGTTGCACCTGTAAAGAGAATGGGGAGCTTTGTTGTACATCCCTTTAATGACATAGTTGGATAATCTCCGTTGCAGGGATTAAAAGGTTCACACTGAATGATGTAAGGCGACATGAGTCGCTGTTTTATCAGTCTTTGTCAACAACTACTGCATAATGTGTTGGGAATTGAAAAGCTACTGAAAAGTATCACAATTAAAAGTATTTTATGAAATTTATTTCAGAATTTGTTGTTGCAGGATGGCTCTTTTCATTGGATTATGTGATGCACTGAAGATGATTTTCCTATTTTAGGTAGCTGCAGTTTTGTTTTTGTATTAAATCTTGTATCAGACCCCAATATGAGGCCCCGAGCTTTTAAAGACAATATAGCACACAACTTTAGAGTATTTCAATGTCCAATACTCAGTTATTGTACTACTGAGTACGAGATGGCCTCTATCAGGGAACAACAACTTTACAAAAGTCTTAATTATTGAGTGTGACAACTATTAATTATTTTACTGTCATTTCAGTTCATGACACAGCTTTGGGTAAAGAGGTGAGAAGTATATCAATGACATTTACCAGACACATAACAGTACATATTAGTATTCTCTATATTATTTCTGGATATCTGAGTAAATGAGCTGGGAACAATTTAATCAGATTCGTGCTTCTTTCTTCTTTTTTGTATTTGAAGATGGTTTTACAGAAGATGTACATTCCTGCGGTCTTTATTTCCCGGTGACCATTACAATTCACTTAATGTAGATGATGTTTAGATCATGCTTTAAAACGCCCTTCAAAGATCTATCTTAGGGGTCTATCTCACTTGAAGAAGAACTTTGGTGAGGGAACTGAGTAACAGAAAACAATGCAAGAATTCCAAAATACACCTGCTAACCTTGAAAATGAACATTTATGCAAAGGCCAAATGGATGAGCATAACTTTCTGCAATTATTATCAGAATATTTGATTTTTCCTGCAACCCTTTCATGCATGAATTATGACAACCTCAATAGGATTTCTTTCTTAAGTATTTTTTTTTTTCATCTTTAGGCATGACAAAAAGATTTTTGAACTCCACTTTTTTAAACATGGAGTTTTTTACATGTCTACTTAGGTGGACAACACACATTTTGACTGAATTTGGTATGAAGTGACACATCAGCGTCCAGTGTAGTGGTTTTTGTGCAAGTATACCATCAACACTGGCACAAATACAAGAAAACAGCCAGTAGTGACCACTATGCGTGAAAGGGTTAATGCAATGAATGAACTTGTTAAGTTTCCTGTCCTTTCTCTGTGTATAATGTATCCATTAGCAATGTTCCAATTGATTTGCATATTAATTTACCATATCAGGATATATTGATTTTCATATTTTGTGCAGTAGGATCCAAGAGAGAGTGGAGACCAATCCAACTGACTTTAGGCAGTGGGGTAACCCTGGAGAGATTATTTGTTAACATAGGGCTAACACAGAGTAACAAACAACTATTCACGACCAGTTTGGAATAATCAATCAAGCTTGCATGCATGATTGTTGGAAAGGTGAGAGCAGCTGGAATGAACTTGTCAGGCACAGGAAGAATATGCAGACTCTACACAGGAAGCAGCAGTGAGTCAGCATATTCACATTCACATGTGTTGCCTATTCTGAAGACTAGCCTGGTAAACTTGACATATTTGAGGCTTGAATAAAAGTAAAAACATATATTTGCAAATATTTAAAGCTCTGTAAACACTGGTTAAGGTGGACACTGAGCAACCTATTATACAGGAAATGTGCCCCACAGTAAACTTAATATGAGCCTAATTTTTATTTATAACTGCTCCTCATATTAAACTCTGCCAAAGTGAGTCAAAACATCGTCCTTCAACTCATTCTTAACACGTTTTCCTACTTTCTTTTTTTCTTTTGGATCTGTAGGATATCAACGAGACAGGATATCCCTACTACAGAGATTTCTGGCACAGAGTTCCACCCACCTGCTCAAATCTTTTGTTTGAGCTGGCTTAAAGGAAAGGTGGCCTCTAGGGGAGAGCAGCGAAAACAGTTTGTTTCAAACAGAGGATTAACTGCGGGATGGCACCAAAGCCCAGTATGAGATAATAAGGATTATTTTCACATGTATTGTCCAAAGCTGCACGAATACAAGTCCAAGAATAAAACATATTGAGCTGAAAATGAACACAATAGGTCCACTTAAAAAATAAATAAATCTAGTCCAGTTAGTCAGTTGGAATATATAAGGTTTAAAGAATATTAAGAGATAAATCCTTGGCTGTACTGGATTTATCTCTTGCCTGGCATTTAAAACTATTTTTCTGTGAAGCTCATCTTCTTGGTGCAATAACTCTAGCCTAGCAACTGTGCTAATTATGTGGAGTGATCTGTCATCAAACATGACACTTCCATCATGAAAGGGCCTTTTTACTGCTGACCTATGTGCCTTTTCTTCTGATTAAAGAAGACTTGAACTATTTGTCATTCTTAAAAAAAATCATCTGAAATGGAATGTGACCATGGCATCATTTTGAACTGGTAACCATGACAACAAGGCCAATTTTAATAGTCTCTGCTGCAGCACATTACAAATGTGCAGGTAGTCGAATCGATTATTTTTGTCCTGGCAGGTTAATATTGCAGATTTGGATGGCAGATAAAATCCTGCAGGATTTATCTTTAGGTTATGTCTGCATTTCTTTATTTATCAGAAAGGACTCATAGATTATGAAGGTTATTAAAGCTGAACTGGTTTGTTCTGTCTGCTAGGAAGCCTTTAGCTTAGTTAGGCTGTCTGATTCTAAGTGTTTGAGAATAATCAACCTTTTGCATTTCACAAACACTGGAGTGAATACATGAGCAGCGGAGGCCTGCAGTGTTATTACCGTGACCTGTCTGTTGTCATTGCATTTTGTATGGTTCCTTCCGTGAAGGGTAACATGAGCACCTAATGCAGATTAATGCATAAACCTGTTAAGGGATGCCTCCTCAGGCTACAGATTATAATGCAACACTGTCACAGCCTGATGGTGCACTGTGGTTTCAAGCAGTTGGTGGCCAGGTGTAAAATATCTTCAACCTTCAAAAAAGCTGGGACACATTTTACAATGTAAATGAGAATGCAATGATTTGAAAACCTCATAAACCCATATTATATTTGCAATAGAAAATAGAAAACAGATTAAATGTTTAAAATGAGAAAATGCACCGTTACAAAAACATACAATCATTTTGGAAAGCAACACAGCTCCGAAAAGTTTGGAAAAAAAACTAATTTACCACTCTCTAGCCTCTTCTTTTAACAACAGTCTGTGAACTGAGGAGACGTCTGCTGGCTGGACTCCGGGGCATTTGCCCCATACGTGTCCGATACAGTCTAGCTATTGATCAATCCTAGATCTGCTTTGTTATATTTTTAGTTTTATAATGTTCCAAATTCTCTGGACTGCAGACCGCCCAGATCAGCACCTGGATTCTTCAACTTCAAAGCCATGCTGTTGTAATAGATGTAGTATGCTTTTTAGGATTGTCTTGCTGAAGTATGCAAGGCCTCGCTTATAAGAGACATTGTAAGGATGGGAGCATATGTTACTCTAAAATCTCTGCATCCCTTTCAGCAATATTGGTGCCTTTTTATATATGCAAGGTGCCGATTCTACTAA